ATAAGAACTATTAAAAGCAGCTAAAAATGGAGAAAAAAGGTCCAATAAGAGCACGAAAAAATAGTAAAAGAAATAACTTGACTAAAGATTAAAGCATACAGTCTAATACAAAAAGGATTCTATTCAACCAAGCTTTACAATCCAGATTAGCAAAATAAGATGTATTTGTTAAATAGGTGCATGCAAAATTCAACTACTAATACAAATACATGAATGCAAAATTCAACTGCTTATTAAAAAATTGCTCAAAGAAAGAAAATCTAAAACCCTTAATTTTGTAGCTGTTGCTCCAACAAGGCAAAATTATGATGATGAAAAGGCGAAATTGTAACTTCTTTTTATAGAATTACAGGCGTATATAAAATTGGGTGAAAATTTTATTAAAAAAAAGACTCTTATAAGTTTTCAAAGAGCTTGTCTTCATCTAATATAATTATAAAAAATTTAGTGTCAAAAATTTATATCAAAACTTTCCTAGTGTGTGCATGAATTAGTCAAAATTTAAGAACTTTTCAAATGTGAAATTTTAATACTCCTAAATTTAAATATAGTTGAAAGTATCAAAAGTTTCCTAGTATGTGAATTAGTTAAAATTTTATTAACTAAAGAAAAACCGAAACCTTCCTATTGTGTGTAAATTGGACAAATTTTTATTAACTAAAAAAGATCCTCCTAAATTAGAATTTTTTTTTTAATAATACTCCTAAATATAGAGTTGGACGAAAACTTCCTATTGTGTAGAGAACGAAAATGTTTCCTAGTATGCGTGTCAATTATAAGTAATATAGGAATAGTAATTAAATAACTATTCCTAAATAGTAGGGAATTATTTAAATGACTATTTTTAATATTAGGAAAATAATCAAATGACTATTTTGTCTAATATGAACTCTATTTTAAAAAGGGTAAAAAAGGCGAACGACATTTCGCTAAGGGCCTTCGTGCTTTTAATATAGTATCGATATAGATATAATTAATACCCGCTTCGGTATGGAGTCCGTTAAATTTAGTAAACTTTAATTAAGAAAAAAACTTAAAAGTTCACTCTTAATATTGGGTTATTACAGCCATATAATTCCACTGAAAGAGGGAAACATATATAATTCTGTTTTAATTTCAATTATGATTTGACATTTAGGTAGTCACGTTTCGAGGACTTTATTTCCTGTCTAGAATTTAAAGAGCATGAAGAAAAAAGATGGCTACTAGTGTCCCGAAGGGAGGGTCCAGTTGGTTTGGAGGGTGTTGTCTATAATGGCGACTGGAGTTCGATTCCCCTCAATGCCTTATGGGTCTAATCTTGTCGCACAAAACTTGCGTAGTGCGGTTTACATTCTCTGTATAGTTTGCAGGCTATTACACAGTGGAGGATTTATCAGTGCGCATAGAATGATCACCCGAAAAGCAGAGGCTGTGGCAAAGACTGTAGCAGCTGCGGGTTTTCTTGGGAGTCCCAAAAAAAATGGTTACTAGTACCTTCATTCATTGCATGAATAAGTTAGAGGCACATTATTACTCCTCTTAAGAAATCCTTCACTCTGTATTTATCTTAAGAAATCCTTTAAGTATGTGTAAATTATTAATTTAGAATCCAGTAACTTAAAAGGATCACCACCACTCCGAACTCACAATGTTTGAATCCTGGCTCCACCTCTAGACTGGTGATATGAATATCATATGATGTGATAATATATTTGGAAAATCCTAACATTAATTCATACGAAACATCGATTAGCCTATCTTTGACGACTATACGTCCATAAACAAAGAAAAGAAAATATAGGATTCTTTCAGGAGTCACGGCAACGACATCTGAGGGGCGCTTTGTTATTATTTGGGGCTTTGAATATTTTGAAATTTTAGGCAAGTTTGAATCAATATTTTGTAGCATATAATATTTGTAACCAAAGATAGGAGGCTGCCCATAGCAGACTATTATGAATATGAATAGTCTTACATAAAACCTTATTCCAAAGCACGTGCTCTCTACACCTATATATTTTGATAGTACTTGTCTTTGTCCAACTACTCTATTAAACAATGATAGTAGTACTTTTCTGCAATTTGATATGCCTTGCCAAAAAATTACACCAACATTATGTATATACACTATATGTTTGAATTCATTTGGCTTGATTTTATTCAGTGCCGACTCAAGGGAAGGCGATTAAAGCAATTGCTTTAGGCCCCTTCAAAGTGAAGACCCCAATTGTTCATTAACAATTAATATTATTATAAAAATAGTACAAGGGTTATGTAATTTTCTTTCTTGGAGTGTAATAGAGATTATTTCGGAAAAAGCAATACTTGAATCTCATAATAAACATGAAATATGACAAAATAATAGTTTGATGACGACATTGATAATAAACAAATAAAAATAAAGTTTCTTGTAATATATTTTAAAATAGATTATTTCTTATAAAGAATAGGTCAAGTCATATTTTCAATTTCAAAGACACTTAAAGTATTTCAAATATATAAAAAGTATTTCGACATCTACTTACAAAATTAAGATTATTAGATGATGGGAACTTACAAAAATATTATCTTTATTGCAGATATATGTTTCTTAAAAAAAATTGAAGCTTTGGTGAGTAGAGTTACTAGATATCTTTGATAGTGGGAACTAGCATGTAGCCGAGTGAAGGGCTAAAATACGTACAAAATGATTCATAAACCATTATTACAAAACAATAAGAAAAGAAATCAATTAAAGAATAAATATGTGTATTACAATAAATTTAAGGCTTCTTCTTAATTTTGGCTTTAGGCCACAAATATCATTGAGCCGCCTCTGATTTTACTTATTTATATTTTGATAATCCGACCCCCCCCCCCC